TGCATAAAATATGTGTTTTAGCAATAGTATAATCCCTGAAGCCTACCTAGGCATGCACAGATCACAAGTTTAATTGAAAAAGTATAATAGAAACTTGCTTTCAGTTTCAGTTTTGAAACTCTAAACCACCATCTCTGAGTTTTCCGTCAACGTCCTAGACTGTTGTTCCACTCCTCTGTTGCTTTTGGTTCAACCTAAAAGCACTCATCCCGTCCTCCTTGAACCTCTCCGTCTATCTCTCAAAATCCCTCTCTGCCTCTCAATATCATCTATTCGTGGTTTTAGTCGTAAACCCTACACAGAACCCCATATGATAGTATATATATACAGACGTCTCTAAACCCTAGTCCACTTAGATTTAAAGATTGAAAACCCTAATTACATTCTAGTCGGCCTCCACGTGAATCCTAAAAGAAAACTAAAACATAATTTAAACATTAACTAAACCGTAATGTAAACCCATTCACGTATATAAGTTACTAACCAATTAAAATTAATTTAATTATAGAAAAACCAACATAAAATACAACTAAACAATTAAAGAAAATAACACACAATAATTAAATAATTCAAATAAATCAAATATCAAATAATAAATGCAAATAAACAATTAAACAAATAAAAATGCAATAAAATAAATATTAACATGCCGAGACTATCATTTTAAAATTAGGGGTATTACACAGGTGCTGCCGATGATCTTTCTTGTCTTTGCTTTTTACAACCATATCGTCTATGTAAGCTTTGACCATTCGGCCGATTTGTTTTTCGAACATTTTGTTGATCAGCCTTTGATAAGTTGTCCCTGCGTTTTTTAATCCGAAGGGCATCACTTTGTAACAGTAGGTCCCACGTTTGGTAATGAAAGAAGTCTTCTCTTCATTCGAATGGCTCATTGGGATCTGGTTGTAACCTGAATAAGCATTAAGGAAAATTAGTTTTTCATACCCTGTCGTAGCGTCTACTATCTAATCAATCTTGGGGAGTGGAAAACTATCTTTCAGGTACGCTTTGTTCTGGTTATGAAATCGATGCACACTCTCCATTTGCCATTCTTTTTTTGGATAACCACCACGTTTGACAACCATTGAGGGTATTGGACTTCTCTGATGAATCCTGTTTCTAAGAGTCGACTGACCTCCTCAACAATGATTTTGTTCTTTTCAAGGGCAAACCTTCTCTGCTTTTGTTTTACCGGATGGTGGCTAGGGTCCAGGTTTAGGCTATGATAGGCTGTCCGTGGATCAATTCCCGGCATGTCCCAGTGATTCCAAGTGAAGATATTGTGATACCCCCCGGATTCCCGAATGCAGGTTGGCCAGGCCCACGCTCGAATACCCGAGGATATCAAAATAAATTGATAATAAACAAACACAGAGTATAAAAAAATAAAGAAGAATAAATAAAATACTGACAAGAAACTAAAATCATAATCTAATAATAAACCTCAGAATATATTTTCATTAATTAATAAACTCTTCTGATACAACTGATCCTCTAAAATACAACTCGGGAATCCCTACTATGTGGACCCCTAGAAAATCCAAACTAAACAAATGACAGCAATAACTGTCTAAATCAGGAAACTGAATCATAAAGGAACTCCTATGTAGTATCAGAAGAATGAAGTAGACTGATTCCCGCTCAGCACGAACAACCTCTACTCCTGACGAACACCTGAAAAATAATGGTGAGTCAGGCCCACAAACAAGTTCTACTCTACTGCAGTCCAAGCAGAGATCCGATAGACGTATACATCCTAGTCAATCCAACAGTAACTAGTAGTCCGTATATATATATACACACACTAAAGGAACCTCACTAGACTATAGGGTTGTCTCAACCTGAATAGTAAGCAACATGCAAAACGCACATATAGTGGGCATGAGTACTTAGACCTACCAGGGTACACAACTTCACTATATCTAGCTACACATCCCTGGCGATATACGCACCTTAACCACTGATCCTGAGACTCAAGGTCATATCATGGCACCATACTTATATATATATAATCTAGTAACCATCCTATTCAGTATAAATTAATTCTCCTTAAGTCATTCAATTTGTTCAGCTGACCTGACTTGAATATAAGTAGGACTTAACATTTTAGTTAATCCATTCCCTTATATAATAAATTAATCCTCCATAAGTCATTCAACTTGTTCAGCTGACCTGACTTGAATATAAGTAGGACTTAACATTTTAGTTAATCCATTCCTTTATATAAAATAGGTAGGACTTAACTGATAAGTTAATCCGTCCCTGAAATGCCACCGTCCCATACCGGTGCATTAAACCACACAATCCAACAATTAATGTAACGATTAAGGAAATACATTAAACAATCCAAAAATAACTATAATAATATGATATCAAGTTATCACAAAATAGGAATGACTTATTATTTATTTAAGCTTTCTATATCATATGTTCTACATTAACTGATTCTTATACATATAATGATATTTTATTATACCGTCAAATAAGCATTCTCCATATCCAATTCATCCTACACATTTAATCTCAATTGCTAAAACATATTAAAAGATTAAACTCATTCGTTTGTTTAAAACATTCAAATAGCAAGCATCATTATGATTGAGTCTATTTAAATTTATTTAAACCCAAACTTAGTTCCTATTTAATGTTCAGGAATCCTAGGCATGTTTCTATGTTCCATCATTCCACAGATATGAAAAATACATAATTTAAACATGTAAAAATTCACACCGGAAATCAAATCAAAATCATGCATTTATCAATTCATAACACAAGAACAAATTTGAACAAAATTCATAAAACCTATGTTCTAATCCAATTAAACATGCATAATTATTTAATTTTATGTGTTTAATAAATCCTGGAATTTTCTAGGCATGTACAGAAATACGAATCAAAGAGAAAGAGATAGAAGAAGAACTTGCCTTAAACTTTCGGATCGAAAGTTAAACTTCTTCTTCTTCTTTGATCTTCTCTCTATAGGGTTTTTCTTCTCATTCCTTCCTTTTCCTCCTTCTCTCTCTAACACTATCTCTCTAGAATATATCACGTGAATATTTCTAACCCCTTTTTACAACCTATAGCTATATATTTTATAGGCTAAATAAAATAACCCTAACCCTTTTCCCAATCCAAGTCAACTAAAAAAAAATAAAAATAAAAATATTAAAAAGGTAAGCAAAATATGTATATGTATATCTTTATTAAATAAATAAATTATACACATTCCATTATTTATTAATGGATTATCCAATAATATTTAAGTTACCATAATATTATAAAGTAACTTAAAACATAACACGTATCAAATCTATGTATATTTTTATTATTTAAATAAACATATATATCAGATTAAATATTACTACCCAAGTTACCATAAAAGTAATTAATAAATTACTTTCCCTTTTATATATATATTAAAAATGTAAGTAAAATATGTTACGTATATAATTTATGTATATGTTTATTAAATATATAAATTATACACATTCCATTATTTATTAATGGATTATCTAATAATACTTAAGTTACCATAATATTATAAAGTAACTTAAAATATAACACGTATCAAATCTATGTTTATTTTTATTATTTAAATATAAAACATATGTATCAGATTAAATATTACTACCCAAGTTACCATAAAAGTAATTAATAAATTACTTTCCTTTTTATATATGTATATAATATATATCTATATATATACATACACTATCCATGGGTAATAATCCATACACATCCAACCTCCTATCCAAGTAGTCCATGGTACCTAATTGGTTAGCCCATTACTACTAACCATAACCATAAAAGAAAAATAAAATAAAATAATAAAAGAAAAGAAAATATTTAATTTACAATTAATCAAAATACCATTTAAGCACATAATCTAATTAAATAATTAAGACATAGACAAATACAAATAATACATAGACACATAATCAAATAATTAAGTAATACCTAATTCAATTAAACACATAAGCAATTAGTCAAATAATTAATTAAATAATTAAAAATACAATTAAAACAAATAAATAAATACCGAGACTATCCTTTTAAAATTAGGGGTATTACAGATATCGACATTCTACTTTAAGATTTCTGTCAGTTCCTCATTTTCTAGGGCTGACTGGAGTGTCCCTATGTAGGTTAGCTTATGTTCATCCCCTACAACTACCTGCACTGCCTCTACGGGTTCCTCGGTTGGATGCTCCTCTTTTGGCTCCTCTCTCTCTTTGGGAGAGGAAGAGCCCAGTAATTGCTATTTCAACAATTTATTGCCTTTATCAGCTGGATAAATCGTTGTGTGGTAGCACTCCTTCGCTGTCCCTTGATTTCCCCAAATATTAATGACCTCTTGACCGTTCGGGCTTACGCACCTTATGACTTGATGTAGAGTCGATGGGACTCCTTCCATACGGTGGATCCATCCTCAGCCCATTAACAAATTATAGGTTGGATGAATGTCCACAATCACAAAGTTCTCTTTCAAAGATCTTTTAGCGACAGTGACTGATAGTGTGATTACGCTTACACTTTGTTATGATGTTGGCACTACTACCGGGATCAATCAGTACTCATCTGACCAGGCAATTGGCCACTAGTAGGCTGACTACTAATGGGTCTTCATGTGGGTGTTGTACCCTTCTGAGATCTTTTTTATGAAAAGAAACTCGTGCAGGATTGGGTTTGCAGTCAACAGCGTTGATTTCACCAATCCTTCGCAGCTTATGGGCTTGTTTGAGCTGGATCCTGTAGGAATTTTCTAATTGCTCGTCCTCCTCCGGACGGCCATGAATTGTGTTGATTATCCAGACAGAATGATTTTCTGCCACGGCCTTTGGAGTCGCCCGAGTTCACTTATGCTGCTTTTTTTGTCCCGAGCTAATCAAGTAATCAGTCAATTCACCCTTGGCTATTAACGCCTCCATTTGCCTTCTCGAGCTCTTGCAATCATTGGTTAAGTGGCCAAAATCACTGTGGAATGCACAGTGCTTACTTTAGTCTCTCTGCTCCATTGGTTGTCTGATTGGTGGTAGGATCTGGAAGATGTTTCTTACCTTCGTCTCTTGATACAGTCCAGCCAACGTCACTTTGAGGGGTGTGACTCTTTCGGCCGGGACTTCTTCTCGGGGGCTCATCTTTCGATGACTGGGGGTTCTCGCTGGATCCTCGAGGTGCTCGGTCGTTCTTTCGGTCGGCTTTCCACAATGACCAGAGTTACCCTCTGCTGTTTGGTTACTTCGTTTTCTTCGAGTCTGATATAGTCGTGAATTCAACTCTGACATGTTAGTCGAGGTTTTCTTCACCAGAGAAAAGTGAAAACGTGAGCCTTGCACCATAGCTATCTTGAATACTTCTATGGCTGTATCCTGATTGCAATCTGGAATGCCCGAAGATTCCATGTTGAATCGTGTGAGGAAGGCCTGCAGGCCCTCTCCCTTCATCTGTCGAATCGTGAAGAGACTGGCAATGGTTTTTTTCTGCTTCTTGTTTTCACAATACTGGGCAAGAAATGCGACGCACAGTGATTCGAAGTTTGGGATTGACTTGCATAGGCGATTTTTGAACCACTCCAGGGCCACCCCCTTCAGACTGGATGGGAATATCTTGCACATGAATAGATCATTGTGTGCCTCCAGTGTCATATTCTGAGTGTAATGGTTCAGGTGCTGGAGAAGATTTCCAGTTCCATTGAATTTAATAAACTTTGGCATTGTGAATTTCTTGGGTCTTGCGACCCATTCTATCTCATCTATGAAAAGAGTCTTCGCTATTGACGCAGTGAATTCCCTTGCTATGTCTTCAGGCGTTTGGTCTTTCAGCCCTTTGATTCACTCATCCATTTCTTTCCAGAGCCTAGCGATAAAGTCATTCCCTGAAGACGGTTAATCGGCCGCTGGGTCCAGGCTTCTTTTCTGCCCGAGTCAGCATCATCTGATAAATGGGCCTTGGTGGCTCAAGGTCCCCCAATATAGAGTTTCCTAGGATGCGGGATTGACTCGCGGGATCATTGGCGTCGTCCAGTGTTCCATTGAATTATTGTCGTGAAGCCCTTTGCTAGTGAGGTGGATTATCAATGTCTAGCTCCAGAGGAGGATTTTCGTTCTGACGTTCGGGCTGAAGGCCGATCGGCAGATCATTTCGCCGAGCGTCACCCAGAAGTCTTTCGTTTTTCTCGCGCAGAGTGTTGATTTACACCACGTTGGCTTCTTAAGCTTGCCTTAGCATATTGATTTGCTCAATACTGGCCTCATTGGCTTGTCGAAGGACATCAAGTTATACTTGCATCTCATCACGTATTTTCTACATGGTCTCTTGTTGTTGTGGTTGTACAACGTTTGATCCTGTCGCCATTCCGGAGCAATGTATGCTAGTGGTAAAGAATGGATTTCTTGTATCGAATTCCCATAGACTGCGCCAAAATGTAGGTGCAATTTCTCACACTCGAACACTTAAAGAGATAAATTAGAGAAGATACACAGAACGTAAACAAGGGAACAGATAGATTTCTAAGAGAGTAGCAATATTGGGAATTCGATGCATTTTCATTCTCATTCAGGCTTTATTTATAAGCTTTTTTTAGAGATTTACATGGAGGCATTTCCTGACTTTTACTCCCGATCATGGGTATTTATCCCTACTGATCGTGTGCATATCATTATGGCAAGCGTTATGGATCTTTGGGCCCGTTGAGATTGGGCCATCCATTCGGCTTTTATGTCAGGTGAAGCTTCTTTTATTTAATTGGGTTGAACTGGCATATGCATGTGGCTTCTATTGTTGGACCTCCAATTGACAGTGGGCCTCTGGGTATTTTTAGTTTAGTCACAGGTTGCTCTTTTGCTGCCATGTGGTGTGTTATGATTGGTGAGGATTTTTCCGTCACACTCATCAATCTTCTTGGTCACAGCCGGAGGAGAAGAAATCTTTCCTGAAAAGGTACGAGCATTTCTTTCTTTCCACACATAGTAGATACATGCACAGAAGCAAAGCTTGTAGGCATATAATGTAGGAGATTTCGAAGTAGGATTCCATACACTGTTAATCCAAACAGCAATATTTGAGAACACGAAGCCCCCACGGTAGATATATACCACATTTGTTTTGGAAGAAATCTCAAATAGTTTTGGAGAATCGGCACTCAAAGAAAAGTGATCATAAGATTCAACACCTCCAGGATATGGTGAATAATAAACTGAGATGGATCCTATCTCTAGTCTTGAGTCTTCTACTGATGGCCAACCATGTGATGAATGCATGTCTTGGAACAAAATTGGAGAGCCAAATGTTATTAACCCATGCTGGATCGAGGAGAGCATTGTTTGTATGCTTGCTTAAGATTAAACCCCCCAGTAGGGATAAAGACCATCAATGGTTGGAACCATCACACGAAAAGGATGATGAATCGATCCTCCATTACTCATGCCTAGGACAGACACTGTTGCATCCTCCCTCCATCTAGAACTAGCAATGAGCTGAGGATCAACTCTTTGGTCTAAAGGTCCCATAGGAAGCCAATAATCATGCCATAGAGAAATATCCTTCCCGTTGCCCAAATGGTGCTTGATAAATGGCCTAGCAAGGCCTCTCAGCTTTAGGATCATTCTCCAATTCCATGATGAGAGTTAAGAGGGCTTAATACACCAGAAGTTCTTGCTTTTTATGATGTCTGAATGCACCCACTCAAACCATTAAGACTGACCGTTGTCATGGAACAAATTCCACATGTGCCTAAGAATAGAATGTTGAGGGCAGTCAGATTTGGGATCCCCAACCCTCCATACTCCTTTGGTTTGCAAACAACATTCCAATTCATTGTGATTTTCAAGAGTTCTGTTCATGTTTTAATACTTTGATCCCTTGCTATTTGTATCAGCATTTGCGGTTTATCCTAATGAAGGGAACAATTCATAGCTAATCAATAGAGTTTGATTTTTTGTGATTTGATATTTCTTAGGCTACTTACTTCTATAAAGAAGATGGGTGACGATGATATTTGTAATAAACAAAGTTGTTGAACCTTACTTCTTGAAGAAAAAAAGATGAATGAGAAGAGGTTTGCCACAGCAAAGAGGAATGATTTATTAGGTTTCAAAGATTTTCTTGAGGAGAACATAAGAAGCCTTTCTCAAGAACCAATTAATTGGAAACTTTTCATGGATTTAACATATTTTCATTTTAAAATGATAACATTTAGGGATTTGTTCTGTTAATTGATATCTTCAACTTTCAGAGTCTTATTATGTTATTTTTTACAGTGCTAAACACTTACGAAAACATCCATTGTTGATGACTTACTTGGAAGTTATAAATTATCGGAAAAGTAATAAATTATCGGAAAAGTAATAAATATAAATGCTCATCAATAGAAGACTTGCTGAGGTTTTGTAAAAATCATGGAGCACCATGCAGGGCAGCATTCTCGCAATGTAAAGCTACCAATAACAACACCACCAACAGACAAACCAGTATGTTCCAATGCGTCTTATGTTTGTTTGCTTATATTGTTGTTTTCTTTGTTTTATTCTGAATTATCCTTTTTTCCCATTAACTAGATTTATGAAGAAGCTGCTAATGCAAAAGAGATGGATGACCCGTTCCCGGGACTTCTTTCTTTAATCACAAAAATCATGGTTGTGATGTTACACCTCCACTGATACCGATAACGCGACCGTGACCGCGAACCATGGTCATGACATGCCTCAAAGATCTTTGTTATGGACCTTGAAAACATATCTGTCTCCTCACCGTCTTTAAAATCGCAAAAATCATGGTCGTGTTGTTTCATGATCAGACAACATTTGAAACCTACATGGGCAGGCACATATATCGTTTTGAGCACAGCTTTGTTTTTCTCACTAGAGTTTGTTATGTTTCATCAGTTGTACATCATAAACACCTTTAAAAATTGTAAAATCCAAGTTTTTTTTGTGCCTTTTCTTATCACAGGGCTTGATGGATCTCTTTCTTCTGTGGGATTGCCACAACTTCTATTGCCATGGTTAGATAGATACAAGTACAATGTTTTTATCTAAATTTGTTCTTCTACATTCAAGATCATCGACATTCTGATATATTATGTAACTTTCTTGGAAATGATGTTGGATTTTTCTTTTACCATTAGCTAAAATTTGATTCGGCTTAACATCATTTGGATTGTGGTGATGAAATTCTCGCGGCCTTTTGAATTTGGTTTTGATGAATTTGATTTTGACTTTGTGTGAAATGCCGAGTTTTCAACAAGTTTATGTTGGGAATTTGGGATGGTAAAATTTCTCCGCTCTGACAGTGAATTTTTGCAGAATTTGATGGCAAGGTCATAATGACCAGAGGTAAGTCTGTCTTTCACATCTATTTCTTAGAAATTCTTTAAAATATTGCACAATATTAAACCTTTATTTTTAGCTCTCAATATATATTACTTAGTTTCGATAAATATAATCACTTTTTTTTTTTTTTAATATTGGTGTTAAAAAAAAATTCACTTTTTAAATTTTCACCAATGAGAATTTTTTTTTTTTTTTTTCCGAAGGTGACCAATGAGAATTTTCTTTTATTTTAGGGTAAAGTACACTAACACCCCCTAAGGTTTGTCAAAAGGACAGCCAGATGAAACTTGCTCTGTTTTGGGACAATGACACCCTCTCATAATATTTACAAGCCAAACAGAGCCTTAAAACATATGAAAAGTCAACATTACCCTTCACTATTTTATTAATTTTAATTATAAAATATTAAAATAATTAAATGACCAAATTACCCTCACACCCCATCAATCCTACAACCGGATTCTGCAGCAACCACACCAAAACTCCACAACCACCAACACCCACCCCCAAACCACCGTGCCTTCAAGCTCTCCAATGGAAGGGAAGGATCAAGCTTTTGGTCTATCACCATGGCAATGTGAACAACTTCAAAAACACCATGGCAACGTCAACAACTTCACCTCATCCTCTCTTCCTGAAAAACCCCAACCTTCACCTTCTCAAAAGCCCCAACACAATCACCACCACCCACTTCAATGGCTTCCCCCTCAACCTATCTTCGTGCCTCAACAAACCCATATCGATCACCTATTCAACAACCCAAGTCCAAGATCGCCCAACCTCCACCTCCCAATCCCAAGATCGGGTCTTCAATTTCGCCGCCAGTCCAGCCACTCTACCTGAAAACGTGCCCAAGATGGCCAAATCTGAGCTCTAAAATTGGCGTGGAACCAGAATGAGCGTGATGGAAATGAGCCACAGAGGGAAAGAGTTCCTCTCAATCATCCAGAAAGTAGAGTCAGATCTGCGTACCCTTCTCAGCATACCCTCCGATTATGCAAGGCGGCGCAACCACCCAGTTCTCTGCGATCCCTCTCAATCTGTTGAAACCTCATTCTCTTCTTCTGGGTCGCGAGAACTGTTCGTGCTTGGGTTCGTCGATCTGAACTAGGCTTCACCGGATTTGGGGCTCGCTGGACAGAATCGGGTCTTGTAGTTTGAAGCTTCGTCAGACTGATGGCTCCAATTTTGTGCGCTGCCGTGGGATATATCAAGACCTGACAGAGAGAATCAACCAAGCGAGAGCACTCACCGTCGCCCTCGTCGAACAACTATTGCCACCGCTGCCATTAAGCCCAACTCATGACTTGCGTACTCCGGCGTTGGGTAAGCTCACCGATGGAATCGAAGGATAAAGGCCCGCATCCATTCACCATCGCCACCTG